CAGATATGATCCAATTACCGAACAGTGTTCTGGTTTGGATTGCACCGACATTTCTTTTCTAAGTTTGGCTATCTCTTTGTCCTTTCAATTCCAGTTCTTAAATTCATCAATCAATCCTTTTATTTATGTGATAAACCTGCATTTAAAATAAACATTTACCATAAATTAAAGGTATCTTATATTATTAGATATATTATTATAAAAATATTTTAGTTAAGGAGTTATTGATACTTCACGTGCAAAATGATGATATAAAACCTTGATAAAAATACACTTTTAAGTATCAATCAGTATCATGGTAAATGAGCATGATAAAGAATTAATTCTCTAGTTAATGGAATTAGTACCTTAATAAATAGGCAAATCGTTGAACTAATCCCTAGTTTAATGGAATTAATGCCGTAACGAATAGGCGTGATGAGAAATTAATTTCCTAGTTAATGGGATTAATACCTTCATGAATGGATGAATCGTTGAATTAATTTTTCAGGTTGATAGAATTAGTGTCTGTTGAATGGACGGACGAGAAATTAATCACCTATTAGTGAAATTAATGCTCGAATTAATAGGTAATATTTAGAATTGTATTTTTGGTTAATGTTCAAGAATTAAGGATTATTTAGAAATTTAATTGAAATATAATACTAGATGAATTAATTAATTTAATAATCTTATGAGAAAATTTTCAAAAAAAAAAAAAGAAGTAAGAAAGAATTTATTGATATTTTATTTCATCTATCTAATTGAATTATTGTATTAAATCATTTTTTAGTACATCTTTATATTGAACTAAATAGTTAATTAGTTTTTCTTATATTTTGTTGGGTATCATTTTGTAATAAATGAATTTATTATTTTGTTATGTAATATAAATTTCAGAATTTAACATGTTAATAATTTATCAAAAAAAATTTCTTATAGTATAATTTTAATTATGAGTATCTTCTTTAATTATGTACTTATTTCAATTATAATTTTGTTTATGGTCTATATTTGTAAATCCTTGAATTGTGTAATATACTTTAATTCTAATTTATAGAATAAATCATTGAATTGTATCTATCTAAATGTGTTATATTAAATTATTTAAATATGTGTGATTTTAATTATTGAGAAATAATGATGTAGTGGAAGGTGAAAGTTCTCGATAATAGGACACATAAAAAATTTGGTAATTGAAAATTATGGAAGAAAAGTTAATAACTTAATATCAAAAAATACAATGAAAATTTTACTTGATTTCTGGTTGGTTACATTAAAAAAAAATGCTCTAATCTTAACTGAATTATAATATCCTTACCTTTTGTTTTAATTTTAGGGTTGTTAGAATATTATTCCATGGAATTAATGCTTAGGCCTATGCTTTCATCCACAATTAATTATAGTGATTTGCCCCTGGAGAGCGTTATCAGGAATGTAGATGCAAGATCTTATTTTTATTAATGCTGTTGTTTATTTCTAAGTACTTATTACAATTTATATTGCAACGGAAAAAAAATTATATATAT